ATAAGTTGCTCGGTGACTTCAGAAGCACCCGTCCCACCCTCGGGTTCTGACGCCCCTCGTTTTCCTCCTCACATCGGTGAACAGCAGCATCGCCCCTCCGCCTCCGCCCCGCGCCTGAGCAGGCGCCGTCCTCAGTGGGCACACAGCCGGAGGTGACCGCGTAACTGACTCTCTGTCACCTGGGCTGCCATTCTCCCTCTCCAGGTATGGATGTCTCGCCTCCTGGAGGCCCAGGGTCTGCCAGTTGCTTGCCAGCCCTCATTTCCACATCCGTTCATCATCTCACTTACAAACAGCCCCAGCCACCCGGAGTGACTGCGTGACTGCGTGGGTGTAGTTCGGACAGCTCGCAAAATGGAAGAGGGAGGGACCACTGGACCTCGGGAGGTCATGGGGACTCTCTCTAGGCCACGGCCACAGCATCAGTCAGTTCCACCCATCGATGAGTGTCTTCATCTGAGTTTTCAAATTCCTGTTGGCCTTGCTCAGGTCAGACTCTCTTGGGTCAAACAAGTCACAGGGGACCTGGGAGTAGCCTGGTGATGGTCACTGGAGGAATCGCCATGAACCCAGCAACGCCCCCGGTCTGTGTCTAGAGAGGTGTCACTCCCCATTGCCAAGAGGGTACGCTCAAACCCTTGCATTTAAGGTTCTTCATTCAGGCATCGAGGGCCCTCGCTTGCAGACCTCTCTCTCCTGATCCGCCGATCTGTCCTCCCACATCGATCTCAGTCTCCACCTTCTGAACGTTCTCTGTTCCTTCTCAGCTTTGCTTTTGCTTAACCCTCTCCCACGGCCCTCTTCAGAGGTGTAGCTTGCTGTCTTTAGGATCCGGCCTAGTGCCTCCTCCTTCAGGAAGTCTTCCCTGACCACTCACTGGACACTTTCCATATTTTTTCATTTATTGCCAACTTGTTTTCCTGTGCTATCTATTGTCTCCTTGTGCCACTCAGGGTCCCAGCAGGAAACGACACACTTGAAGTGGGCACTTTGAGGACAGTTTAATAAAGAGACCATTTACAAAGGTAATTGCAGGGTGAAGAGAGAATGCTGTCCCCACAGATGAGTAACCGCAGCACTACCAGCTCTAGGTCTGACAGGTGAGGGGTGGGAGAAACCGTGGAGAGGTCCAGAGCTGGGATACGGGACTTGCTGTCGAAGGACGCAGCCACCCCTCCGTGCTGCTGCAGGAAGGAGGCTGGGGGACTAAATACCCTGACCTCACTGTCCTCCCTCTTCCCGCCTCCTGCAGGCACCGCCAAGGGCTTCATCCAGAGAGCAAAGGGAATACAACGAGGTCTACACAGAACATCTTCTCAGGCACAGAGCAGGGGAGAGAGTCAGAGTGGATCTGGGTGGGGAGGGCAACAGAGTATCCACCAATTAGATCCATTACAATACCTAGTAATATACATGGCAGCCCCTAGAGTTTTGCAACTCAGTTGGACAAGGTCAGATGTAGACATTACTGAGTTTCTTGCTGTAATAGCATCAAAACCTCCCCCTCCCTCCCTACACGTGGGCATATTCTCAGCTGCACTAATGACTGCACAGGGCCTGCTGCCGCTCTGGCATTGGCGAGGGCCCCCTAGTGTTCACATTTCTCACTGCAACTGTAACTGAAGCTGGTGTTAGCAAGTAAGGGACCATTTGAGGGCTGGGGCCAATTTGCCAGGACAAACTGAGCCATGGACTGCTTTTGTAGTCATTGGAGACATCCTTGGGGATATTTAACCAAAGCGCTGGGATTTTAAAGAAGCGCATTTTCTCTGGCGTACAACTTCTCATCAGCCTCTGTTGTCTGGCAGTCCCCGGCCCACACGCTTGCTCACGGGGTCCCGCAGATGAGCCATCTTCTTGGGCAAAGTTGGAAATCCTCCCATCAGTACGCTCTCATCTGGTCAAGGGGGAAAACCCCACAAAATCAACCCTGAAAGCACGGGTCCAGCCCAAAGCAGTGGCTGACCTATCCCTTGTCTCCTGATTTCCTGGGTGAGCGTCAGAACACACAGTGCCCCTGTCACCGTGGTGAGCTATCTCAGGCTTATAGACAACTGTCATTGGTGACATTGGCATCGCTCTTACCAGCTCAAGAGACTAGCACCCACCATCCTTTCTTACCTTTCCATCCAGGGTGGGTGGCTCCAGCAGCCTTCTACAAAGAAAGATCTCCCTAACTGTCAGCAACCTAATCTCTTTGTCCCCAAGACAGGTGAGGGGGTCTCGAGGGTCATGACACCTGTTTGAACAATGCCTGTGTAAGCTCTGCCTGTCGGAGACCTACGGGGTCCTGCTGGGTCAGGGAAAACTTCCAGTTTGCTGTCTTGACACATACATTAGTGAGCGGCCCTGGTGACCTGTGTAGTTTGTTCGGAACTGCGCCCAGGGTCAAGGCGGACCCTCGGGCACTTGAACCGCTTGTCTGCAGCCCTGCGCTTGCCCCCACTACCTGGTCTCCCTTGTCAAGGTGTGACTGTCAGAGCCCCCAATCCCGTGGGGTGTGATTCTCAGGGTCAGGAAACTTCTGTGAAGGACAAGAAAGTGAGTATTTTAGAATCCGTGGGCCAATCTTTGTCCCAATGACTCAACTCTGTAGCAGCAAAGAGCCACTTCAGACAATCCGTGGGCAACTGAGCGTGGCCGTGCCCCGTGGATCCCTAGAGCAGGTGTGGGCTGGACATGGCCCGTGGCTCACATCTCACCCGCCCGTGGACAGATCGGTGACAGGGGAGGAGAATGATGACACCACTCTGGGGATTTACCAGGGGCAGAAATGGAAGAAACCCCGGGGAAGTGACTGGCAACCCGCAGGCTGAGGGTAGGAACCTGCTCTGTTCAGGAGAGGTAAAGACTCCACAGCTTTAGCCCTGGGATTTGAAGAAAACCCAGAAATTCAAGCAGGGGAAGGATCATCTGTTTTTAAAAATAGCAGAATATGTTGCTCAACACACAGGAAGAGGGACAGGAGAGTCACCTGCTGTTGTCAAGGTCGCTGTGGCCGCACTCCCAGCAAGCTTTGCAGAGTGCCTCTTGGGCCACTATGCCCTCCGACAAACTGAGCCAGCTGCCTGGACACCACCCTCCCTTCCACCCTTTGCTTCGTGAAAAAGTGGGTCACACACCAGTTCACATATGTGGCAGGTGTTTTATCTCTCACCCAACAGTTTCTGGGAGCCTTCCCCAACCCTAGGAAGACCCTCTGCCAGCCAGGGGGGCCTGAGTGCGGGGGCTTAGCACCCCCAGGAGCAGCCCGACTCCCTTGCCCCTGGGACGGGGTGGCGGAGGTGTGAGTTACACTGTTTCTCGGAGTTTTCTAGCAACGTTGGGCTCCAGGCACCCGTGGAAGGCGGTGGTGATGGACCTCTGCTGGCCTCTGCTGGCGTCTTCCCGGTCCCGTTTGCCTTTCCATTCCCTGCTGGCGTTTCTAGTACTTTCCAAATGACCCTTGGCCTCGCCTTCTTGCTCCGGCACTGCTCTTGGGGGAACCCAACCTAAGCAGAATGTCACTCTCTCCGTCCTTTCTGCAATGTCTTCATCGTGCTTCCTGCACTCGGGTCCCTGCACCTGTCACGCTTCGCTCTAGTCGTCTGAGTCAGACGGGTCTCTTCCACGAAGGGCAAGTGCGTTTTCTAGAAAAGGTGTCGTTTGACTTTGCAGCACTGGTGTTTTCCTGGTCGGTGGCACAGTGGTCAAGCGACGTGTTGCTGACCACAGGAAGCTTGCTGGGTGGCGAGGGGTGAAGGGGCCAGCACCACTCACTGCACGGAGCGGCCAGTGGCCACGCGCGGCTGTTGAAGTGGAATAAGAACGGCCCTGGCCAGTGCGGCTCAGTGGTTAGGCGCCGTCGCCCCATGCACCGAGCCAGTTACCGGTCAGGGCACCTGCCTGGGTGGCGGTCAGGGCACATGCCTGGGTGGTGGTCAGGGCACCTGCCTGGGTGGCGGTCAGGGCACATGCCTGGGTGGCGGTCTCCACCCCTGGCGGGGGGCATGCAGGAGGCAGCCGACCGATGTTTCTCTCTCTCTCACTCTCCCTTCCTCTCTCTCTCAAAAAAAAAAAAATCAATAAAAACATACTGAAAAATATACAAAATAAAATGGACTAAACATTAAAGCGTCAGCTCCTCAGTCACTCTGGCCGCATCCCAAGTGCTCGTGGCTGCCTGAGCAGTGACCACACTGGACGGCGCAGACGTCCGGGCTGGGGAGCCAAGTGGAGCACCCTGAATTGACTTGCTTGGGGGCAGTTTTGCGTGGGTCCCAAAACTCCTAAAAGCTTCCAGGGATCAGGGGAGCATAAATGAGCACCTCTACCCGGCACCGCGGCTACCGAAGGGCAGAGACCACTTCCTGTTTCCTAATTTACCTCCCTGCATGGCTCTGGGGCCTCCACTCCATCCTGCGTGTGCTGCCAGATCCACCTCTCTAGGGCACCACGATGGCCTGCCCTGCTCCAAACCCTGCCCTCCCAACAAAGCCCAAGATGATTTGCCTGAAATTCCTGGCCCTTCCCAGCCCACCCAGCCCGCCCCACCACCCACACACGTGGTGCTCCCCCACCCCACCTCTGCATGGGCATTTCGTTGGCTTAAGATGCCTCCGCCTATCCCCTCCCTTCCAATCCTGTTCCTCTTTCATAGACCTGCTCGGAAGCCACTTCCTCCACGAAGTCTTCCTCTCTCAGATTCCAGCACAAGTGGCTTCTCCCTTCCTGGCCCCGAGGAGCACCGAGTGTGTTCCCCTTTGCACCGCATTCATTTCTGTCTTTCACCCCCGCCCAGTGGAACGTTTCAGGGAGGCAAGGGCTGGGTTTGTTTCGTACATTCCGCACCCTTCACTTAACCGAAGCGATGCCCGCGCCTCCGTCCGCACCACGTCACACACAGCTGCCGAGTGACGGGCGCTGAGGAGGACGCTGTCTGCACCTTTCGGGGCGGGGGGGGGGGGGGTGTCTATGCGCAAGGCCTTGGTTCTCTACCGAAAACGCCCAACTGCTCTTCTTCCTCTGAGTCACTCCTGGGAAACGTGGTCACTCGGTGCGAATAGAAAATCAATTCAATATTAAGAATAATCAGAGCAGGGATGACATACCATTGTGCTGCTGGAGAGTACATAGCCATAATCTGCAAAAAGAGAGACTCTTGACCAAGCAAGGAAAGAGCTAGGCACAAGAAGGCATGTGATGGATTTATTGCATTTTGCAAAATAGGCGTCGTTTATGTCAATAGTTGGCTGAAGTTAAGATTTAAAATATACAAAGTTTTACCTGTTTGTAGCTGCCTAGACTAACTGTCGAACAGGTGCGTTCATGTGTATGTAACTCTTCGTAAGCAAAGCTTTTTGAGCTTGACAATAAGTAAGCTGCCCAGCCACTGTCCTCTGGTAATGACTTCGGGGTGCATAGATATACCGCTACCATTGTGGACATATGTCCACGTCTTCAACAGCTTCTTCAGTTGTGCTGCAAATTCAAAGGACTGGTGTAGAGATCAATGCCATTGGCTCAGTGTATTTGCTTGCCGTGCCCGGTGCATTTTCTTTGGGGAGTTTTCTGCATCTGACCTAGAATACAGCAGAGAGTTCCTGCTCCCCTGTGGACCGGGATACCGAGCTACCTCTTTCCAGTGTCTCGCCAGCAAAGAATGGATTGCACTTGCCCAAGTGCACAGCCACGTGCCTGTGGAAAAAGTGGCGGAGGTGCTTCTGGAACCTCTCTCCGACGAAGGCGTAGATCACAGGGTTGACGCAGCAGTGCGTGAAGGACACCACCTCCGTCACCATCAGGGCGATGTCCAGCCGGTTGCTCTGCTCACAGCTGTTGTCGAAAAAGATCTTTGGAAAAGTGGAGAGAAGGACAACCAGGTTGTAGGGTGCCCAGAAAATGAAAAAGACCACCATGATGACGAAAATGAGCCGGATGGCCCTGAGCTTTTTCCTGCTGGGGCTTCTCACCAGTGTCTTGATGATTCCGGAGTAGCAGACCACCATAGTGAGCAGCGGCAGAGCCAGGCTCAAGATGTTCATTCGCAAGGCGTAGAAACACTTCCAGGGCCTTTCTTTGTCCTCTGGGTACAGGGAGCTGCAGAACAACATGTCGGACTGCTCTTGGGCCTTGTGGAAGATGAATTCAGGGAGGGCTACTACCCCTGCCAGGACCCACGTGAAGACACTGCTTATGATCCCAACGGTGAAGGTCCGGGCTCGAAGCGCAAACACGGCGTGGACGATGGCCAGGTACCGGTCTACGGTCAGCAGGATGATGAAGAAGACCTCCCCGTACAAGCCTACAGAATACAGCCCCGAGAGCAGCTTGCACATGCCGTGGCCGAACACCCAGTGGCCCCACTTCATGTAGTGGATCCAGAAGGGCAGCGTGAACAGAAAGAGCAAGTCAGAGATGGCCAGGTTGAGCAGGTAGATGTTCGTCATGGTCGAGAAGCGCCTGTATTTTGTGAGGATCACCACCACCATCACGTTGCCCAGCAGCCCAACCCCGAAGACCAGGGCATACAGTGGGGGCAGCAGCTGGGCCTCCAGCTCTTGGACGTCCACTTTGAAACATGGCATTGAAAAATCATAGTCATACCCTGTGGTATCTTCCTCAATCCCAGGCCTGGCTATGGTGGTTGCCATTTTTCTGTTCCCTGTGACAGAAGAAACAGAAGCAACCCCACAGTTAGGCACGGCCCCTGTTTTCTGAATCCCAGTGGATTTATTATTTACCCAGCAAAACTACGCGTGATAAATAGCCTGTACATCTAAGGGTTCTTCAGCATCTGTCCGAGTTGCTGTGGGGAGGAGTCAGAGATGAAAGATGGGAGTTTTGAAAGTTAGCATGAGCCACAGTGAGAAAAGAGACAGAAATGCGTGGGTGGTGATGAAGAACGGGGATGAGGACTTCTGAAAGTATTTGAAAGAAGCACAAAACAGCCCTGGCCAGTTTGGCTCAGTGGTTAGAGTGTCGGCCCATGGACCAGAGTGTCCCAGGTTCGGTTTTCCCCAGGTTTGGTTTCCCCTAAGGGCACGCACCTCAGTTGCAGTTCCTCCCTGACCCCTGTTGGGGTCGTGTGGGTGGCAACCCGTCGATGTGCCTCTCTCATTGATGTTTCTCTCTCTCTCTTCCTCCTCTCTCCCTCCCGCTCTCTCTGAAGATAAATGCAAAAATGTCCTTGGGTGAGGATTAAAAAAAAAAAAAAAAAAGGAAGCACAAAACAGGAAAAAACAGACTAGATACTGGATAATAATAATAATAATATAACCATTATTATTATTGCTGTAAATTTAAGGTATTTTGCATTTTATATTTTACTGTTTGTATATGACTTTCATAATCATCTTACCTATTTAAAAATTAAATGCTCTTAATGATAATAGTGATTATTATTACAAATAATTACCCCTCTCCCTGGCCCCATGATAATGTGCTGTTCAACATAGCAAATGGGGAAATTAACCCTTGAAGAAATTTAGTAATTTACCCCAAGCTCTCTAACAAGTAAACACAGAAGTTCAGGCCAGATCCTCTGTATCTGTGTCCAATTTTCTCATCACTAGATTCAAATGCAGTGATTTCTAAGCTCGACTTTTGATGACGCAGCTATTAGGATTATTATTAACTACTATAACAATTACAATTATAAGCAGTATTGACCTCGGTTAATTAACCTCTCTTCCGCTCCTCATAACACTGAGACATGCCATCCTGGGCCAACAGCAAACCCCTTTGGGGGCGGACCCGGAGGCTAAGCCAATGGGATTTCTTATCACCTTTGATATTTTTAAGCCCAGGATCCCTGGGGTCAGTGCCTGCTTTTCTTAGATTACAGACTTCCCTGGAGAAGAAGGAAAAGCAGCCAAGGAGGGAGTCCCAGGGAGAACAGTTAGTCCCAGCACTCCTTCCTCGGAGGAAATCCTGCTGACTTAATTCTTCCTACAAGGAAAATTGGGAAGGACAGAAATGTGTAAGTCAGTGAGTGTTTCTCCAGGTAAGTCCTAGAACTGCAGTGCTTGGAGCAATGGCCAGGACTTGCCTGTGCTCCCTAATAGAACACTGAGCCCCCAAAGGCCAGCCCTGCCCGCGGCTGTGAGGTGGGAGGCTCAGCAGCCAGCCCTAGCTGTTCCTGTCACCAGCTGTCGGCTGGGACGAGCCCTTGACTCTGAGCCTCCTTGACTCAGCTCCAAAATCAGAATCCTGCCACCGCTCGAGGTGGTGGTGAGGGCCAGGTGAGATGGTCCCCATGAGTGCACATTTGAAACTCAAAACAGCTATAAAATTGGCACGAGCAGAAGTGAAAGAAAGGCCACGAGAAGCCCTTCCCTATGAAATTAGGAGAGTGGGGTCTCCGACAGAGCCGTCGGTCTATTTTCATGGCTCTGTCCCAGGACACCAGTGACACGCTCCGGCTTCTGAGGGGAGCGTGGGGAAGAATGCTGTAGGATCTTTCTGTCAGCATTCTTATTCTGAGTGGCATAAACCACAGCAGCTGAGAAAACAACATTGTTTTGCCTGTGACACATTTACAACCACAGAGAGCGTCCTCTACACTTCTCTATTTGTGTGTTCTCTGTTTGTATATTCATTATTTGTGTTTTCGTTTCTTCTCTCCCAGACTAATCTAAAAACAAGTCCATTAAAAACCATTCCTGAAGTTTTGGTCAACTTCGTGGCCGTGCTTTTAACTCACGTGGCTTCCAGAAAGCCAACGTGGCCGGTGCGTTGACATTGTAAACCTTTTGGGGGCGCTAGAGTGCAAAGCACAGGGAAGGGCGCCCACAGGCTCTCAAGAGTCAGGAGCCAAGTCCGGGATTACTCTCATCTCAGAGATATGAAAACTGACCCCATGTAGCCGCATACGGTTTTTATCTGTTTGTACAGTTCTGATGAAAATGAGTATTTAAATCTGAAATAGGTTTGAAGTAGGCTTTTAAAAATGACTTTTCAGCCCTGGCCAGTTTGGCTCAGCGGTTAGAGCGTCGGCCTGCGGTCCGGAGAGACCCGGGTTCGGTTCCCGCTAAGGGCATGTACAGTGATACCTCGGTTCTCGAACGCCTCGGTTTTCGACCAAATGGAGATTCGAGAAACTTTTGTCTCGGAATCCGAACAAATATTTGGAACTCGAACTTCCGAGATGAGCCGAACGGCGTTCATTCGGCCCAGCGCGCCTTGCTTGCGTCATCAGTGTGAGTGCAGAGAGAGAGTCACGCTTTCCTATTGGTTTCATTGCTTCGGTTCTCGAACAATTCGGTTCTCGACCGTCCTCCTGGAACGAATTATGTTCGAGAACCGAGGTATCACTGTACCTCGGTTGCAGTTTGTCCCCAGTCCTGGTTGGTCGTGCGCGTGGCAGCCACTCGATGTGTCCCTTCACGTCGATGTTTCTCACTCTCTCTCCCTTCCTCTCTCTCCCTCCCATTCTATCTGTACAAAAAATGGAAAAATATCCTCAGGTGAGGATAAAAAAAAAAAAAAAAAAGACTTTTCACATTTTGGAAAAATAAGAGTAAAGAAACAGACAAGGTCAACAATAAAGAAAAGGAAAGAAACGCAAATTAAAAAGCACCCCAAATCTCACCATGCAGAGTTTATCGCGAATATTAACATGTCTCTCTGCGGATATGCACACCTGGAGATATATTCTACCCAAAATGGACATGATACCATAGCTGGTTCACTAAGTCCCTCATTGTACAGCTCGGCTGCGCAATGCAAACGAGGCTTCACAGTGTCTAAAACCACTTGACCCTCTGCCCACTTTGCACCTGTTGGGTAGCCAAAAAAAGGATTCACAAATTTGAGTCAAAGTGGTTTAAATGTAGCCTGGCGACACATAGAGAATGAGTAAAACCTAGAACTGTTGTCAGCTTATCATTTCAGTTTCTTGTCTTCTCTCATTGGTCCTTGCTAAAGGGCAGTGATGACATGGGGGAGGGGCCAGCATGACAGGCATGGGCAGAGCGGGAAGGGGGAGTGGGGGGGGGGTCCTGGCCTCCTGTTCATACTTGATTTCCGTGGCTGCTGTCTGCTGAGCTGGGGCGACCGGTCCCAGCCCTGAGCCTTATGCTAGCATGCGCTGCCATGGTTTGTGCTAATGGCCTCGTGATCCATGGGTTCCTGGCCTTCCCTGGGCATTGTGACCTCTCCCAATTGAAAGTGTTCCCTCAGCTCTGGCTGGGATGGAGAACCCTCTCTGTCCCTGCATCTCCATCTGCATCCTGGCTCAGGACCCGGGCACCTTTGGAATGGGGGCACCAGGCAGACTCGTGCTCCTTGTCGCCCGTGCCTCGACGAACCAGGAACTTTAAGAGGCAAATTGGACTTTTTTGCCGCCTGACCACCTACTTAACTGCACTCCCCACCCCATATGGGTAAAGAGGTGCCTCGCAGGGAGACATCCTCTTAGGGATCCCCCCGATTTATCAAGAGTCCTCTGCACCCCCGCAACTCTGGTCAAAGCCTGGATGGGAAAGGGAGGGACCCACAGCTGTGATTGCTTCCTCCCATGACCATTGTCTCTCCTCACGATTCCTGGAGTCATGAGGAGAGGAGCCTCCTCCGCCACATTCTGGCCCAGCCAGGTCCAAAGAGATGTATGCACACCCCTCTTCACTGTCGTAGCTAATGAACACCTCTCCGTGTTAACAAGCACAGTCTTACATTCACCAGCTTTAAATGTCAATGAATTTTGCAAAACTGAATTGAGAACGACTGTCTAAGATTGGAGATACTTCTTTAGAAAACATATTGAAGTTTAGAATGCCATTTTAATGATCAAAACGATGGTTTTTATGATGACACTCAAAGCTAGTGAGGTTGCTGCCGTGAACCTGGAGCACAGAGCCATTGCTCATGCAATGTGACTTGGTTCCATGAGTTTTAGAAATTCTAAACATAACAAGAACCATCAAGTTACATAGGGCCCTGACCGGTTTGGCTCAGCAGTTAGAACCTCGGCCCGAGGACTGAAGGGTCCCAGGTTCGATTCCCGGCTCTGGTCAGGGTTGTGGGGGAAGCAACCAGTTGATGTGACATCAATGTTTCTCTCTCTCCCCCTCCTTCCCTTCCACTTCCACTCTATCTAAAAAAAAAAATCAATGGAAAATATCCTTGAGCGAAGATTAAAAAAAAAAAAAAGATACATAGGGCTTTGATTAAGAAGTTCAACTCCTAGGAATTCACCCTAAGAGGGAAAGGTTGACCAACCAAAACACAATTGCACAAAGGTGTTCATTGTGGTTTCATTTTGATTGTAGAGACAAAAAAAGTGGAAACAGTCTAAATGTTTGACTCCCGAAAGATATTCTGAATAAACTGTAGTCCATGTGCACAACAGAGCATCATGCAGTCACTGTGAGCAGGTCTGGGCACCGGGAGAAGCCCAGACAGATGCCGATGAGAAAGGGAGGAGGCGCCGTGCCCAGGGCAGCCTGCAGCTCTGTGCCCCACAAACCGCCTGGCCGGGAAGTAAAGACAGCTGCGGCAGGGCAGCGCAGTCTGGTTTGTCAAGTGGTAAAATTTGAAATTGTTAAAAATTCCCTTAGGTTTAAACTGCAACGGAGGGCAAGGGCTTAGAAGCAGAGGCTGCGGAAGACTCGACAAACGCACTTCCAGAGGAAATTGGGCTGAAAACCTAGCAGACGGCCAGAG